TATCTTCCTACCTGTTTTCCTTCTTATGGGGCTAATTTGTGTAGAAGTCAGGATAGCACCCCCCGATACTTTACTTATTTTGTTAATACTGGTGGCACTTACACAAAAAAAAGACCTTAAAGCAATGGAGCTTATTTTAAAATACTGGTTGAATATTTTGTAGCATTTTCTTCCTTTCTTCCCTTCTTTCTTTCTTTGTCTTTTTTTTTTTCTTTCTCACCTAATTAAGCCCTGCTAATGAAAGTCGACCAAGCAATTTTACTTTCTTGTTTCTATGTATCAATACAATTCTAGTTGACTTTGGGTTGCCAACACTGTAAAGACTTACTTAAACGTAAACCAAAGATTTTAATTCTGAAAGCAGTATACTTTAATATTAAGCTTCTTTTCAAAGTCTATTTTTTGGCTCTCGCTACTTGAAAATGAGCTCAGTGGGATTATGGATATGAATGAAGTTGCATGAGTGATGTTTGCAGAGATCATTTTGTTTTTCAGTCCTTCCAGAAGACGCTACCGTGACGTTGCATAAAAGAAGAGCTTTAACAAGGTAAACCGGGAGATGCTTTATTCCCATGTGTGCTTATGTATTTTTCATTAGAGGTCGTTTTGTACGATTCTTGGGCGTGAGTGCTAAAGTTGGTGAAGCCCACTCTTTTCTTTTTAAGTCGCCAGTGGTGTGAGTCTGTGGATTCAGCTTAGCAGTGGTTTTGGCAGGCTATCAATCCATGCCAAATGAATCCAGCAGCAATAGAGCAAAAATGTTGTTAACCCGCTGTGCCCTTTGGCAGAGAGAGCGATCGGCAAAACATGGGCTTTGCCAGGCGTCGGAAGGAACAGGTGAAATTCTGGCTCTCTGGAAGCATATCTGCTTGTTATTAAGGACGAGGTTTCACTTGCCTCACACGTGTAGCGGGACGAGGTCTGCAGTTCTCTCTAAGAACAAGCGTAGTTCATTTGGGACGACCTATTTGTGTTTGTCCACGTTTGTTAGTAGTTTTTTTAGTACTGTCCCACTGGGCTTTGCAATGAGCTTGCGGCTGCCACGCATGCCAACCGAGTAGTTGGGGAGCAGCCTGTAGTACCGGGCAGCACTCACCGCTTTGAGGCAGGAGATGTTGCCGCTGTCTGTTGTCGTTGTTTAGGAGACAGCGTGGATATTGTGTTTCCCATTGGATTTGTAAGTGGTGTTGAAATGTCCCCGTTCCTTGTCCCTCCCTCGTTTCTCAGTTACCGAGCGCTTTGGCCCGTGTTCCTTCTCAAGCAATTTTGTGTGCCTCAGTTCTTCAAACAGTGTTTTCTTTTTAGGGGCCCAGTGTAA